AATTTTACTTTTATTTTTTTAAAACTACTTTCCTTTTTTTTTTTTTTTTTTAAAGTTTATTTATTTGGGGGGGAGGGTGCAGAGAAAAAGGGGAAGAGAGAGAATCCCAAGCAGGCTCCGCACTGTCCGCAGAGTCCAACGCAAAACTCGATCCCACGAACCCGGTGAGATCACGACCTCAGCTGAAATCAAGAGTCAGACGCTTAACCGACTAGCCACCCAGGTGCCCCTAGAGCTCTTCCTTTTTAGATGTCTGCAGGGGTTCAAGGGAAGACTTCACAGCGGGAGGAGTAGGTCTTGGGTGAGTTAATGAGACAATGAGCAAGAAACAGCGAATGCCCCCACAAGAAAGAAAATGGGCAAAGGACAAGAAGGGTATTTTATAAAAGAAGAGTACAAACAGCCACTAGAACGTCACTAGAGTGAATGACCACCCCAATCAGATGTCATTTGTGACTTAGGTTGGGCAAGACGAGAAACCCCCCTGGCCCAGTTGACGGCACGAGTGTCAACTGGTGACAGGGTCCAGGAAGGTCCACACCCTCCCATCTAATGGTCCATTTCTAGAAGACCCCCAATGCGAACGAGCGGTGAGTGAAGGTTTGCACCAGGATATTTCTCAGTGGGGTTTGTAAATACGGAAATGTGGTCACAAGCTGCCGTGAACTCAGAATCTCCATACAACAGAACACTGTGCCGCTCTTCTGACGAGACTGCTTTATGTTCAATGATAGAAAAGCATTCACAGGTACAGGAAGAAAAGTTTCCAGCACAGCTTGAGTGGTGCAAGCCCGTTTTTCTAAAAACACGTAGTTGCTTATGACCACAAATGTGGAAAGAAAAAAGTATGGAAGGACACAAACCACAAAGCTAACAGTGGTGGGATTTGGGGTAATTTAAACTTTTCCTTTTTGCCTCACACTGTTGTTGTTGATATACGGAACAAAGGTGATTCACATTAAGGAAACAAAAAGCGGTCAGGCTGGCTTGGTGTGGAAGGGCGTTCCTACAGAGGGAACAATATCTGCAAAATCGTGAGACTGTAAGAGAAGGGTCTGTCTGGGGAGTGACAAGCAGCTCAGTCACGGCTGAGAGGAGGGTGAGTGGAGAGCACAGCGGCTAGGGAGGAGGAGGACAGCGCCCCAGAGACCCGGGAGCCACAGGCAGGAGTGTGGGCTTTATCCTGACCAGAGGTGCATGGCAATGAGCCAGAAGCTGAGCGAATGGGCTGGAGGCTGGGGACCAAGCGGCCAGCAGGACAGACAGTCCAGGAGGGTGGAGGCTGGAGGCTGGCTCCTGGGCCATATGGCATCTGCAGAGGGACCAGACCCCAGGCAGAGAGTGGGACAGGGCTGCACAGTAGGGCCAGCTAGGGATTGTGGATGGAACAGGCAGCAATAAATACATGTCCCCAACACGGGGGCTGGGGCCTGGCCAGCCAGAAACATGCTGCATCTTGGAAGCCAGCATGTCAGACGTTCCCAAATATTCCCGATAACCCAGCCACCACCCGTTCCTCGTTCCTCCCGTCACCAGTGCCTGGCCAATGGCTGGCACTCAATAAATATTTGCGGAGCAAATCAATGTCCATGCTGATCTGCATTCTTCTCCAATCGCTAGACCTATTCATTCATTCATTCATTCATTCATTCATTCATTCAACAAGCACTGATTATGGTTGTATCTACAGACATATGGGGTTTCTGCTTCTGAGAACCATACGGACCTACTGGACCAAAAAGTTCTAACTTCAGTACAGTGTGGAAGCCCACACTGCCAGCTGCCTGGTTGCTATGGGAACCCAGACCAGGAGCAGCATCTAATGCTGACATGGCTGAGCAGAGAAGGTGCCCTAAAGCAAGCAGGGACGGGGACTAAGAGTTTTAAAGCAGGTGAGTGACAGGGTCACATGTGGAATGTTAAAGAGATTCCTTTGCCGCGGTGAAGAGAACCATCTGGAGGGAACACAGATGGCTGGTTAAGAGGCCAGAACGCTAGTGCAGGCAGACAGTGATGTGGCCTCATCTAGATCTGAGGCAGCGGGTGGGGGCGGGAGGAAAAGGGGCGGAAGCACCCAGAAGGATGAATGCCAGGGACACGCGTCAAAGGTCATGCTTAGATCTCTGACTGGAGTGCACTGAGTGAACCTGGTGTCGTCTGTTAAGATGCAGATGCTGAGAAACAAGAAAGCAGCTGGTGGGACAGAGTCCAGGTCAGTCTGGAAAACCCTGAAGTTGAGGGGTCGAGGGGTGTGAAGCTCGGGAGAGTAGTTCCCCTGACACACAGGCAGCAGACTGAGGATAAAGTGAAGCTATGGAGGGGCGTCTGCTCTCCCCAGGACGGGCTTAGGGAGGAGCAGCATGGGAATAACCCAAAGACTAAGTGAATGGTTGGGAAGGAGCTGCAGGAGAGGCAAAGCAAGGCCTCAGGCAGGTGGTTCGTGGGAGCCAAGGGGGAGAGGAAGCTTCCAGAAGGAAGAGGAGACAGTCCACTGACAGCTCTGTGAATGGGAGAGAGGACAACAACTAGTGGTTCTCACAGGGAGGAGGGGGAGGATTCTGGGGACACCCGGTAATGTCTGGGGCATGTTTCAGTTGTCGTGACTCAGAAGATGCCACGGGACATAGCAGGTGGGAGCGAGCAATGCTGCTCCACGTCCCACAATGCACAAGATGCCCCCCCCGCCCCCCCCCGTCCAAGAATGATCCAGTCCCAAATGTCAGGAGTGCTCAAGTGGAAAAATCCTGGGCTAGAGGAAGTCAGACAATCTCAGCAACGATTCTCAAAGAGGACAGATGCTGGAGCGTGTCGGAACACTGGTCAGGCGGACCCAAAGAGACCCAGGCAAGCACGCACTTGCCTGGCCAGAGGCTCCTGGGATGGAGAAGCACCAGGATAGAACAGAGGTAGAGGTGGCTGTTATTTTCATTACGAGGTGAAAGGCAGTCATGGGCCAAGAATGAAGGGTGCAAACGGGCCTGAAGTGGTTGCTGGGAGGGCCAGGGAGGCCTGTGTGGCAGGCTGAGCTCAGCTGGGAATTTGATTCCACGGGGCACCTGTGTGTCTGGATGCAGGACTCTCTCCGGCCAGGAGGAAGAAGCCATGAACGTATCTGTGTCTGGGGTTTCACCAGAGCAGCACAACAGAGGACAAAGGGGCAGCAAGGCCGGCGAGGTTTTCACACGCTGGCGGCAGGACAGAAGTGGGAACACAGTAAGCGTTCCGGGAAGGTCCGGTCATCCAATTTAAGGAACTGCTAGCAAGATGCCGAGCTGAAATCGAGCCTGGGCTCACCTCCTCCACAAATTCTTGGTACCCTTTACTTATCTTGCCCGAAGAGAAGAAAAAGTTTATCTCTGAACTGAAATAATTTCCAAATTACTCTTTGCTGCTTTTACCTCCTTCCCCGAACCAGCTCTCTCTGGCCTGATCTCGCCAAACCTAGGTGTTCCTATTAACATAGCTCACATTCCTTTGAAAACCACAACAAGTGAACAAAGAAGCCAGGTACCACGAGAATGCTGGCAAAATCGGAATGCAAGGCTCAGGAACATCCACGGGGCTAAAAATTCCCTTCCACCAGAACACAAAAGGAGAAAGGCAAGACTTGTTAGTAGCATAGGAGAATTTTAAAATGCCTCTGAACAAGGACTCTCTTATTCAGGATGGTCTCCTGAAACAGGAGAAAGATAATGGCTTCTAGAACATTCTAACACTGTTCAATTTGGGTATTAGCTACAATTCCTACTTAGAAGATATCTATTAAAATCACAGACTCTCAGAATTGGGAGAGTCCTTAAAAGACTTTTGAATTCAATGCCCCCTCTGAGGAACTAATTCCCTGTACAGCAGTCAGCTGGCCTCTCCAGGACTTATCCCAGGGACAGGAATCTTCAGGTTACCAGCAAAAGCTGAGAGTGGATGAAGTAGGACGATGGGTACCTGGGGTCCCATACGTTACTCTACTTTTATGTAAATTTGAATACAACAAGGTATTATCTTATTTCCGTAATAAAGGTTTGTTTTTTTTTTTTTAAGTTTTAAATTAGTTTTCAGTGAGAGAATCATAGCCCCACAGCCCAGGGTGGCAGTCA